CACATGGCTGACATAGCTGGGGGGTTTTTTCTGAGATTTTCACACGTTTTCTGGTTTTTGTTTTTTTCTTGCAGATTAAGAGCTCAATTTGCTTGTTGCGTGGGAAGATCTATGATGCCTTGGATAACAGAACACTAGCAACTTACAGCTACAAAGAGGCCTTGAAGTTTGATGTTTACTGCTTTGAAGCATTCGACCTGTTAACAGCACACCACATGCTTACGGCACAAGAAGGTTGGACATTTTTATTATACATTCTACAACCCCAATTCCAAAAACGTTGGGACGCTGTGTAAAATCTACATAAAAACAGAATGCAATGATTTGCAAATCTCATAAATCCATATTTTATTCCCAATAGAAAATAGAAAACATATCAAATGTTTAAGCTGAGAAAAGTACCATATTAAGAAAAAAAATAAAGTACCACGGTGTAGCATCCCCTCTTCTTTTAACAACACTCTGTAAATGTCTGGGAACTGAAGAGACCAGTTGCTGGAGTTTTGGGAGAGGAATGTTGTCCTTTTCTTGCCTGATACTGGATTCTAACTGCTCAACAGTCCTGGGTCTTCTTTGTCATATTTTTCGTTTCAAGATGCACCAAATATTTTCAATTGGTGAAAGGCAGGCCAGTTAAGCCCCCGACTCTTCTACTACGAAGGCCTGCTGTTGCAATAGATGCAATGTGTAGTTTAGCATGTTCCTGCTGAAATATAGGCTACTTGCGGTTCTGGCGTCCTTTTAGCCCTCTCAGGCTGCAGGCTGGCGGTGTCCCTGTAGTCCTTCGGCTGCCTAGGTTCAGGCTAGTTCAGAGAGGTCCTCCTAAGCGATGTTCGGCGTGCACCGCTCACAAGGGTCGGACGCCGAACATCCATTGCCTCTTCCCTTAAATCACCCCTTGCCATCTGTGGAGGGGAGGAGCCAGCTGTCATCCTGGCGGCGCTCGTCCCCGTGGAACATCGGAGAGCCGCGGACGTTTGCGGCCGCCGTGCGCGAAGGGGCGGAGCTTGCTGATGCTCCGGCCGTGCGCGGCCCCGCAATGCTGCGCTGGAGCCAGACCCGGTGAGTCTCTTACACTTCCACACAGAATTTTCTCCAGATTCTCTGAATATTTTCATGATATTATGTACTGTAGAATTAGATGATGATTTACGTTTTTCAATTTTACTTTGAGGAACATTATTCTGAAATTGTTTGACAATTTTTAGATGCAGCTTTTCACAGACTAGTGAACCTCTGCCCATCTTTACTTCTGAGACACTGACTCTCTAAGATGCTCTTTTTATACCAAATTATATTACTGACCTGTTGCCAATTAACCTAATTAGATGCAAAATGTTCTTCCAGCTCTTCATTGTTAGTACCACTTACTGTGCCAGCTTTTTGTTGCCCTGTCCAAGGACAAATGGACGTGTTGCTGCCATCAATTTCAAAATGACCTTATCTTTTTCTTAAAATGGTACATTTTCTCATTTTAAAAATTTTGATATGTTTTCTATTTTCTATTGTGAATAAAATATGAGTTTATAATATTTGCAAATTATTGCATTCTGTTTTTATGTAGATTTTACACAGCATCCTTTTTTAGAATTGGGGTTGTAATTCATGATGAGCACATTTTAGATTTATGAGGAT